ATTCTCTCCCCCATCCCACTGCGGGGGTGTGAGTGAACAACTCTCTGTAGATTATCTGCCTGCCGGGTTGACCACGAGTGTCCTGTCTTCAACAGTGCCAGCCTCCCAGAGAAAGAGGGTAAAACAAGATATTTCCTAAATGAACTTTATGTGTTCCACTCCAGAGGAGTGTCTTAAGCAATTTAAATCACATGGGATAAGATTCAGTGAAAGATTTGGATGTAAGTACCCACATGTGAGCATTCCATGGAAACTAAGACTAACTCCACGTGATACACAAAAACTAGAAAGAATTTAGCTGGAACTGCCAGTCTTTTTCAGGATGAGCTCTTTCACTTTCTAGGCTCCTGTAAATACATGGATCTGCACTACCCTGAGTGGCACAGGAGCTCTGACATCTCCTCCACCTGTAGATATCTATAACAAAGTTCTAAATTTAGAATCATAGAACCATAGAATGGATAGGGTTGGAAGGGACCTTAGAGATTTTATAATTCCACCCCTCGCTGCCATGGACCAGGGGTTGCTCAAAGCTCCATCCAGCCTGTCCTGACCATCTCCAGGACTGGGGAGTCCACAGCCTCTCAGGTGTCTTCACCTATGGCTCACTCATACATCTAAACATGGACATCATGGACAAAGTATATGCTCATTAATGAGAAATAGGGTTCATTAAGAAGGTTTAATTTTTGTGGTGACTGTGCCTCTCTGAATCACCACTGCTTGCCTGATTTCAGAAGCACAGGTTCATCCTAGGAACAATAGTTCTAGTCTGAACAAACCTCCCCCACATGATCTTTAGACTGGATATTAGGAAATAGTTGTTCATTGAAAGGGTGGTTGGGCACTGGAACAGGCTGCCCTGGGCAGCGGTGGAATCACCATCTTTGGAAATTCCCTTGGAATGTGTGTAAATGTGACACTTAAGGATATTTTTTAGTGGTGAACTTGGAGGTGCTGTGTTCATGGTTGGGATGAAGATCTGAGAGTTTTTTTTTCAATCATAATGATTTCTTGATTCCACAGGTTTGATTTGGGTTTTTTTAGCAGGTAGTAAGCAGGAAGCAATTGCTCGTTTGTTTTTAATAAGGACCCAGTATTGGCAGGAACACTCCTTAGGCTTGGCCATCTTCTTAAGGGATGAAATCATAACTTTTTCGTAAGACATCACTCTTTTTTGCATTTTTCTCCCAGATAACTTCCAACTCTCCTGACCAGGAGAATGAGCTGCTGCTTGAAAGCAAGGCAGCTTTCAGTCAGTGATGCCAACTCATGGCACCAAATCTGGGCTTTGTGAGCATTTTCTGTCTGGCCTAAAGTAATCCTTGAATTCCCTCATGGGAAGGGGAGAAGTCTCTGCAGTGTGAGATGCATCTCTGCTCTAGAGACCTATTTTAGGATGGGATACAGGAAGCAGGAGCTCACACATGCTTTGCTTTTAACAACTCAGCCTGTCTGTTTATCCTAGGACTATCATTATGGTCTCTGCTTTATTACATTAACTCAGCAAAAGCACGCACATGTGTCAAGTGCTTCAGTGAATAGACTTAAGCACATGATTAACTTTAAGAGTGTGCTTAAGTACTTTGCTAAATCAGGACTTCTATGTTTTCCCCTCTCAGTACATCTGGTCGATTTGCATATATTTTCCATATAAAGAAGTTCATTTTCAGAGCAAAATGAAACTATTTCCTTGCCTGCACATTCGGTGGTACTGCTGCTGTAGCTAACTTAGACAAATTTAGTCCCTCTTCCCTTCCCACAAGTCACCAGCTGGTTGTTCCAACAACTGCAGGGATTGTGCTGGAGTGACTCAGATCAGAACTGTTTGGTGAACTGGATTAAGGAAATATTTAAGGTGCCAAGTAATCATTCTGTCACATAATCAGTATGTTACGGATTGCAAAGGACCTTATAGTCATCACCTTCCACCAGCCCAGGTTGCTCCAAGCCCCCCACAGCCTGGACTTGAACACTTCCAGGGATGAGGCAACCAAAAATTCTCTGGACAACGTGTGCCAGGGCCTCCCCACCCTCACAGTAAAGAGTTTTTTCCTAATATTTACTCTAACTCTATCCTCTTTCATCTTAGCGTCATTTTCCCTTTTCTCATCACTTCATGCCCTTGTGAAAAGTCCCTCTCCAGCTCTGTTTTATCCCCCATTCAATAAATATTTATTTATGTACACTGTAAGTATAATTTTGGTGAGTTTTGTCCTGGATTAGTTTATGATACACTGTGCAACCTCACTGCACAAAGAGTCGATAAAGCAGATATAGTAAAGTGATCAGATCTGGAAGGTGTTTAAACTGTCATCAGCCAAAGAAATGTACTAGAAACTGTTGATCTGCAGTGTGGGGGACTATGATAAATTCAGAAGACATTGCACTGTATATCCTTTACAGGACTTTTTTCCTAAAAAATCTGTATTTAGGTATTTCAATGAAAATGGAAATCAAGAAATCAATAGATTCATTTTCAGCCATGTTGCTAACAGAAAACAAAATATCATGCAAAACAGCTGTAATTATTGTCATTATTTGAAATTACCTAGAATGAGAATGCAGCATGAAAAAAGTCCTGATTAAAGCCAAATTAACTCTAATGTTAAAAAATATTTTTTTCTGGTTTAGAGCCTGTTTTCCCATAATAATAATCTTCTTGTGTCAGCAGAGACAGAGAAACAAGAAATGAGCATTGTTACAGGTTAGTTTTGGTCCCAGGCCATAAGTGACAATACAAAAAACATTAATCACTGCAGGAAAAAAAGGAGCACTCAGTACCAGATCAGCTCCTCCTCTGCATTCTGCTGGGTCTGTTGGATCAACAAAATATTCTTGGATTGGGACATTTTGGGAGAGCTGGATATGTTTAAGGAGCTGGCATTCTCTGCTGTCTTTGTAGGAGTAAAAGGACAATATGCAGCTCTGAGTAGTTTAATCCCTTGAACTATAGTTTTGTCCACCCATAAACTCTTAAAAGAAAATCTAGCAGACAAGTGTGTGCTGCTTTTAATAACACTTGTGGAATTTCTTCACTGTCAAAAAGGGAATTCATTAAGTTTAATGTGAGGCTGACAAGAAAAAATTGTTGTTCAGTTCTGTTGTTGAGTCCTAGTAATTAGTGTGTGGTCTAATAGCCTATTACTGCTTAATGTTTTATTTTTCTACCAATTAAAAACCAAGAGCTTCTTCTCTGTGACACATGAACTTACTCTATGACCTCATGTAGATGAGATTTGAAACTCAAAATATTTATATACAACAATTATATTTAATTTCTATTGAATTATATATATCTAATTATTAACTTAATTGTTTAATTTAATATATTTTCATTCTGAAAAATATTTGGAAGGCCCTCATTAAACATGATTCCTTCAGGAATCTGTGTTATAGACTAGAAAATGTGTTTCTCCATTCTTTGTCCCAGATATTTAGCTGAATTTTACTCGTATTCTTATGTTGGAAAAGGCACTTAGGCCAAAAATGTAAAACCTGAGTATCTTTTGGGAAACTTGAGTTCCAGAGTCAGCCCTTAAAGTTTTAATTTAAAGCATTCCCCGTCTCAGAAATTCTGAGTGACTTTATCTCTCCCCAAAAGTTGACAGAACATTTAGTAACTGGCTGGGAAAACACAGCTTTGTACATAATTAACAGATTATAGCAAGTAAAACCTGAGAGTATTCCCATCTACTTATAATTGCTCTCAGCTGAACCTGATGCAGATGATTTCAGCTGTTATTTTTAATCAATGTTCTTAACGATCAGTTATCGTATTGTAATACATGTCAGAGCTTGATCTGCAGTTTGAGACTTTTGTTCCCAACACTGTGCAACATAACACAAAATTCCTGCACTCATAACTCAGAGTCTAAAGAGAAATTATGCCTGAAAAAGGAGGCAGATTGATTAGACAATATATTCTTTCTGTGTGCCTTCCAAGCAAGTAGATAATCAGATAATGGACAAAGCAGTTTAAGCCTTAATTACTATCTACAAACCCATTTTAGACAAAGCCTACCAAAGAAAATCTTGAAAGGTTTTTCTGCTCTTTTCTTCAAACAACATTTTCATGAACAGAAATAGTTTGGCTTCTTTATTTGAGAGTGTGTTCAAGTGGATTACTCATTTTTACAAAATTAACATTTATGAGCCATTGCCTACAATAAGCCAGGGTTTAGGTAGAAACAGCTGCCTTGGTTTATCAGTTACCATTATTTGATACTTAGGGGCAACCATTGTTCACACTTGCAAACTGGAGGAAAATAAATTACAAACAAAGCTGGATATGATCCCAATTAATATATCTTATGAGATGATTAAACTCACAGTACTATTGACTAAATCTCTCTGGATTTTCCATTTTTGTTTGCCCAGCATGCAGAATTTATCCCCTTTGCTGGTTTAATTACCTCTGGCTATGTTTACCCTGACATCATTATGAGATGATAGAAAAATAAAAAGCAGTGTCAATTACTTCCAAAGACAACGAAGTTAATCTCTGTGGATAATGGAAAAGGTGATTGAAAGATGGATTGTTCAGGAAAACAATTAGCACAGGCACCTTGAGCCCTAAATGGGTTATCTTTTGTAAATCCTTGAGTCACAGGAAGCAAACCAAGTTAACACATCATTGTTTAGTTCAGCTCAATTAGAGGCCAAAGTAATTGGGAAGAATATGCTTTCCATGAAGCAACATGCAATGCAAGCTGATATGAACTCCCAAATCTGCATCTCACCACGAGCAGGGAAAGAATCAGAGGGGCACAGATATGGAATCATGGAATCACAGAATCATTGAGGCTGGAAAAGTCCAAACATTAATTTAGCACTGTCAGGTCCACCACAGAACCATGCCCTGAACTGCTGCTTCTACACATTTTTTGAACACTTCAAAACTTAGTGGTGACTCCAACACTTCTCTGAGCAGCCTTTTACAATGTTAGACCATCCTTGCAGTGAGGACAATTTTCCTAATATCCAATCTAAACATCCCCTGGGGCTACTTGAGGCCATTTCCTCTCGTTCTGTTGCTTGTTACCTGAAAGAGCTGTGGAAAGGAAGGCAAAACCCTGACCCCATGTGAATCAGTTGAGTGAAAATTGATGTGTTTTCATTCCTTCCACAAAGCAGAGCTCCTTTGAGTTTATCTGAGACTTCCTGATGGCAGCAAAGTCGTGCAACTGTGGGACCTCTACCTTTATAGCAGAAAAAAGATCAAAAGAGTTCTTTAGTGAAGTATGAAAAGCATGAGTGAAAAGAAGGGTTGTCAGCTAGAACATACCATGTTACCATGCATCCTGGCCAGAAGCAGAGCAGGCAGATCAGGGAGGCAAGGCAGGTGCAAAGGGAAGAGATGGCAACACTCATTCCTGGTTCAGAAAAATACACAGAAAAATTCAAAAATTCAAAAATTAAACAGGGGTGTTGTGCAGAAGTTGCATGTTCATTAAGGAAAGAATATTTACCTGATCCATACTATCCTCATCCTCTTGCCTTGGGCTTTTCCTGTTATTTTTATACCTGGTGGCCTGGCAGGAGAATCTTTGGGAATATTTTATTACTCATATGATATGTGTAGCTGTCTTAGGCAAAGTGAAAAGGGGATTCCAGGGAGGGGCAATGAAGCTGAGTCTTGAGTAGGTCATGGGAGGAGAGACAGAGGGAGCTGGAAGTGTTTAGAAAAGGAGTCTCAGGGAAGACTTTCTCACTCTCTACATCACCCTGAAAGGTGATTTGAGCCAGGTGGGACTCATCCCCTTCCACCAGGAAATTAATGATAGGACAGAAGGAAATGCCTCAAGCTGTGCTAGGGGAGGTTCAGGTTGGACATCAGGAAGAATTTCTTCCTGAAAAGGAAGGCTTCCAGGGGAGGTGGTGGAGTCCCTGTCCCTGGAAGTGTTCAGGAAACAGCTGGATGTGGCATTCAGTGCTCTGGTCTAGTTAGCAAAGGTGCTGGTTGGTCAAAGGTTGGACTTGGTGATCTTGGAGGTCTTTTCCAACCTGAATGGCTCTGTGATTCTGTGAAAATGAAAGACTGAAGATGATTTCATTTCATCATGTTTACGTAGATGAATATTCCCACCTTAAAGACTACTTGGTTTTTAATTTGCTGCAAAGAATCAGGCTGCCCATCACCCTCCTGCTTGTCTGGGAAAACCCTCATTCTGAAGAAATCTCATTTCAGACAGCATTAGGCTGCTAAACATATTTATGTCTGCCCATCAAGTTACACAGCACTGCTAGAGGTTGCTATTTAATTCTGAATATTCCTTTCCTTTGTAGAGATGACTGAGGAGAGACAAACCTGCCACCAGAATCCTGTGCTTACAGGCTGTCCTTCTTAGGGGCTGTGTACTGCAGGTTCATAACACAAGTGGAGGAAACTGCAGAGGAGGGACAGTGCTGAAGACAGGAGGTGTGAATTACCACACAACACAGAGAAGTTTTTTCTCTTCAGAGAATTGTTATCCACAGGGTCTGGTGGAGACTGATACAACAGAGAAACACAATGGAAGTAGAACATTAACAAAATGCAATACAAGCACCTCAGGCCGTGGTGTGCAGGGAACCTGTGCAGTGTGAGTCCAAGAGCTCCAGAAGGGAGATATTCATGCCACCAGGGCTAATCATAAATCCTGGCTAATTATGGAAACTAACACCTCTCCAAAGCACTATTCAGTTCAGCATGGACATACTACTTCATTTAAACATCTTTACAACTTACCTCACAATTACCCAGCAGTTTTTTTGAGCCTTGACCTTCATTTCTGGAAGCTTCACCTCTTGAGACCTAGATTCAGTCTTTCCTTCACAGAGGAAAAATTATACTCCATCACCTTACACTGTTAAATGAAAACAACAATTTCAAGTGTTCCTTACCATATATTTGAAAAGTCACAATTGCATCTGTTTTTTACAAGAAACATTTTTCACAAGTGTTTCCCCCTCACATGTTCTTGCACAGTTTGTCTAAAAGATGAGTTGCCCAAGGAGGGACCTGGCAGGCAAATATTGATGCCAGAATTTGAGACTCATAGAGGTGGTAAATCTCCAGCTTAAGTACACCCCATAATTAATAAATTTATAATTTACACACACAGTGTTGCAACAGTGGAGCTAAAGTTAAGAGGATAAACTTTGAAGAACATAAACCTCCAGTTTAGCACAGAGCACAGAATTTCAGAAAGCCAAGAGCAGGCATAAATCAAGAACAGAAGACATAATCATTCCCTGAAATAAACAAATAAGATCAGTTCAAGACCTCCTTGCCAAATTAGAAGTGGAAATAATGACAGAACTGGAATGAGGTAAACACCTCTATAGTCTTATACAAACACAATCTCTCTACATTCTGCATTTTAGCTACAAAATAAGACCAGGACTTAGTTACATTAAAAGAGTTTGCCATATATTTTATACCATGCATTAGGAAAATTTTTCACTGGAGGTTTTAAACAGCATATTAAGAAGGACTGAAATCACTCATATCAATTGGCTATGGTATAATTGAGCCCTATAAAGATTATTGAAATACATTTGCAGCTCTAAGAAGTTGTATAAATAATAAGGTGTAATAAATCTTCTTTTCACTTCCTTCTCTAGAAGAAACAAACTTTTTGGCATTTGCTTCTGCATTTTTGCCAGCCAAAATCATCAGCACAAAGACAAAAAATGTAGTCTTACTCTCTTTGTTTCATTCCTTTCAAAAGGAATGTAATAACACTTATTTTGTGATTTCAAAATTCTGCATTTCCTGACTGCTCCTTAATAAATCTCTTCTTTTTCATTTTCTTTTGAGGGGAATGTCCACAGAGTGCACTCACTATGCAAGGAAGTGTTTTAGGGTTTTTTGGGTGATTTTGTGGGTGTTTCTTTGGTTTCTTTGCTTGTTTTTGTGGTTGTGGCTTTGATGCTCTTGAGAAAGAACATGATCCAGATTCAGACCTGAAGGAAACTTGATCTGTTAAGTTATTCAAGAGCAGATATTTTCATTTTGAGGCTGACAAGGCTGTGAAAGGTGTGACCATGAGCTTGGCAGGGGACTCCTGACTCCCCAAGGGGCAGACTCATCCTTTCCCCTCACTCATGGCAAGGACACTCAGTAACCTGATGTATTGTGGTGCCAAAATATTTCCATAAATGACCCAAGTATCACCTGTAAATTACAATTACACCAGACAAACACACACACACACAATAACAGAGATGCTTACACGCACAAATAAAACGTCACAGTGGCCATGAGAATTCAATACACCACCTAATGTGCTCCTGCAGTCCAGTGTATTTCATTTACCAGGTAATATATAACCCAATTTATAATCAATCTGTCATGCACACAGATCAATACAAATCATGAAAACACACATACATTACACACTTCCTATAATTGAATTTTGTGCTCTCTGGACTCTCATTACCCTGCCACAAACTGCTTCAAATGAATACCTCTTATTGCCTTCAAGGTAAACACATCAGGGACACCAGGCAGGTGCTGCACAACTTTTATGTATAACCCAGTATCAACTTTCAGGAGGACCATGCAAAGTGGAAAACATAACTCCAATTTCCAAACTACATAAGGGATTTCTCCATGTGTCCTGAAATATCATGGAGGAAATGAACACAAAGGTAATTTAAACTGAAATAGTCTCCAGTCTTTATGGTCTAGAAGAATATAAGGACTTGTATGATTGCACTTGATGTCACTTTTAGCCACACCTGATGGTGTCACATCCATGTGAATGTGATCAGCATCTTTCAGTGCAAGCTACATGTAGATTGATGTTATTCCTATCAGGCTGTCCATGTAGATCTTGGTTGGGAAGGAAATAGGTGTTCCTAAACCATCTCTGTCTCAGGTTGGGAGCAAACAAAAAGTTTGGCATTTTGGCTAGATGAAAAAAAACTCAGAGCAACTCCTTATAATAAAGTTTGATATTTTTGCAATTAAGTGAGAATATCATAGTGGGATTTTAGACATGCATATGGATTTATTGAGTAAAAACTATTCAGTTCTCTTTAACAGTAATTCAGATTTGAATTAACTTCCTTAATTCTGACTGCATTTTCATTGGAAATGTATCTCTCTAAAAAGTGATGTCTCTTTAGCTGCAAGTCAAAGGTCAGAGTAGATTTTAGAGCACACTTTTTTTCCTCACCTTCTTTCACATACAGAGAACAGGATTAGACAACTGAAGGAAACTCCCACCCATTTTGAGGATCTCTTGTGCATGCAGACATTCCAACCTAGAAGGACATCTCATATCAAAAGTGTCATGCATGTGCTGGCAATGGAGAATGAAGCTGTTATTTCTCTTTATTTCTGGAAGAACTTAGCTACTCTATATGCATGACAGGTGTTCCCAGGTATCTTATATATTCACACTTTTTATCAAGTCTTGTTGAAGCTTTTCTCTTGATTACAGTTTTTTTGCAGTCAGTTCTGTTGTATTTATTTGGTTTTTTTTCCCTAAAAATGCAAACTTTGCTTAAAAATCAGAGATATCAAAGCTCCTTTTGACAGGTTTACATGTAACATCTTTCAAAAAAATGATTACACAGCATTTGTGTGTATGTGGTTAGACACTGGTGCACAACACTGGATTGACAAGTGTGGAAATTGAATTTCTCTATCTGAAACCCAATAAAGAGCAAGCAGCAACAGCTGAGGCCTGTATGCTACCCATATGGTGGCGTCTGGGCTTGTAACATGACATTTTTGAGCTCTGCACGTATTTTGTCCCCAGTCCTTGCACTTCTTTTGGGCCATTTTTAAGTTCATCCTTTGGTTTTGCAGATTCTCCTACTCTGTAGGAGGACATAAAAAGAAATATCAGACCTATCCACCCTAATTTAATGTATTTCTTTTAATTTTTCCTTACAAGTGCTCTGTTGGAGAACTTGAAAAATTAAACCTTGCCTCTTTCTTGTTACTGTAATTGTCCCAGTCTGTCATTGTGATGGTCATTTGTCAATCCCATTCTGGCTCCATTTTTGCTGTATTCTATGAGAATTAAAGCAACAGCACCTTATCAGCTGCTTTCAAAGGCTCACAAAGACTATTCCCAAATTTTTATTTTTATTTTTTTAATCCTAGAATGCAGTTTCAGTCTCTCTTAACAGTCTGACAGAAGATAACTCATCTGCTTGGCAGAGTTCTTCATCTTTGGGGAGGGATTCATAAGAGCCTGTCTAAAGCAGCTTCTTTCTTTATGTTTAAATCTTATTTTTGTTTAATCTGCCATGACGACCATTCAGGAAGAAAACAAAATTCAGGAATTATCCCTAACTGCATTTTCTTAATGGTCCAGTAATGCTAAGAGCAATAAGACATTAATGTAAAGAGATGAAAATTCTATTTGCTGTAGTTATTTTAGTCATTCACATATTTGCTGTAGAATTCTTTACTGGTAATAGTCTAAGATATTTTGGAAGATTTAACAACATTTAGCGGAAAACTTCTGAGTTGTCTCCTGCAGTTACTTAAACTAAATAAGTCTAAAAGGGCCTTCAGTTCAACAGGCACAATATTGGAATAAAACGGAAAAGGTAACTCACCTTCTTCTACCAAACAGTTTGGGAGATCTGGGAACCACTCTTCTAAATTAATTATTCTGAAAATCAAACCAAAACCAATCTTTGATCAAAAGACATTTCTATTAGCATCAAAAATCATGAGGTCCTTCTCAGTGTTTTCTTAGAACCATGTGTCTGTTTCCTGTC